GCTGTGACACCCCATGACCACCCAGTGTTCCTGTCGCAGTGTCCTCGTTCCAACTCAGACACTCTTTGGTGGCCCAAGGATCTGTAGGGACCCCCATGGAGCTCAGCAGTGGGACGTGGCCATAGTGGGGACCAAATGTCAGAGGCAGTCCTGCAAAGCTGCGCTCTGTCTGCAGACAAATGATGCTGCATGACCCTGCTGTTCCCTGACCCTCGCTCCCCAGCTCCAAACTTGCTGGGAAGCTCCTCTCCAGTAGGTCAACCCTAGCCTGTATGGCTGAAGGCAGTTTTTCCTCCCCCTTCCTATATTTCCTCCTGTTGCAATTCATCACGTTCTTGTCTGCCCAACTGACCGTTCTGTTCACATCTTGTTGAACGGCAGCACAGATTTCTGGTATGTCAGCCACTCCTCCCAGCATTGTACTTGTTGAGGGTGCACTTTATCCCTTCATCCAGGTCACCGAGGAAGATGTTGAACAAGATTGGACCCCTGGGAAACACTGCTAGTTACAGGCCTGCAATCAGATTCTGAACCAATAATCACAACCCTCCGAGCTCTGCCAGTCAATCAGATCACAATCCACCTCACTGTTCTCTCACACTTCCTAGGAATGATTAATTGGGATCATTCTCCTGGCTGGGTGGCCTATAGCAGACTCTCACCTTACTGCCTTGCCCCTTAAACCTTATTTGGAGTCTCACAGCCATGTCACTGGGAACAGCAAGCTCCATGCATTCCAGCCCACCATTACGTACAGCAACACCATCCTGTTTCACCTGCCCTGCCTATCCTGGAGAGCCCGGAGCCATGCAGTGCACACAGCATGCATTTCATAGAACCTTTCCATCACACCTTGCTTATGCTGAGGATGTTGTAACTCCAGGACCAAGCTAAAAGCTTCTAGCTCCTCCTGCTTACACCTCATGCTGTGTGCAGTGCTATAGAAACATTTATAATGTGCTCCAGTCTGCCCAACTCCATGTGGAGCAGATCCAGATGCCTCGTCAACATGCTGTGCCTCCAACTTTGGATGGACACCAAGACCAGAAAAACAATGATGCATAACAACCACGCAGATGGAGACCTGGAGAGCTGCTCGTTTACTGGGGAGCTCTGTATGTGAGGCTGCACCAGTTCCGGGCTGTGCAGAGGTCGCGTGTTACAAAGAGGACATACATTGCTGCTGGGTGAATACAAGTGCTGGTTGAACTGGCTGAGTGACAAAGCCCTCCCTGCACAACCTCCTGTGCGCATGTTAGGAATGGAGATGGGGCCTTGTGCCAAACGTGCCTTCCCCCAGAAGCATGCAGGGATCTGGAGTCTGACCTCCTTCCACCTTCCCCAGTCCTTCAACGCTTTGTCTTTTATTGGAGAAAGTAGGGCCAGAGCATAATGAAAACAAAAGCTGCAGGACAACTCAGCTCCTTTATTCTCCTTCCCTGTCCCCTTTCACACTGCACAGAAAGGCCCTTTGCCACAGAAGGGATGCAGTGATCAGGAGTATGAGGAGCAGGGCAAACCAAGCTTAACTTCCAAGGCTGGTCTCTTCCACATGACTTGTCGGCGGTCTGACACAAGGATGAAGGGATTGGCTGGTTGCTCTGTGAAAGCTTGCAGGTAGGATGACCTCTTCTGAATGCAGGTCATTTTTGCTAAATCTCCAAGAGACATTGGACTGCTCTCCTGACCCTTCTACACGATTCATCAGTGGACTCCAAAATTACTGAGCAGAACACGTGCACACAGGACATCCCTACACAGCTGAACTTCCTTAAGAAATGGCTTCAAAAAGCTGCTGACAGGAAGAGCAGAAAACTGGGCATGGGGAGAGATTGTATTCTATTAACAGGGAAAGAAACCATCAGAAGCTCCCAGGTATAAGTCCCTTTTCCAGACAGAGTGCCAGTGATGCCACTTTGTTTTTTCAAACTCTTTCTGTACGGTGGGAAGCGTTTGGGTTTCCATGATCCTTAGGTCTCTATCATCCTCAGGATCTCTCCAGTTTTTCATGGGGTTTTCCCATGAGCAAAGAGGTGCCAGCCCTCAAAGAAACTCCTCCTGCAGGTGAGACACTTGCAGGGTCTACCTCTCACACAGATTAGCCAGCTGTCAATAATGTTGCAGCCCCTGGATGAAACTCTGTCTTTCCAGGTCTCTGCCCTGAATGGATTCTCCGGTACTCAGTCTGGAGCTGTGGTAGAAGCTCTTCTTACATTTGGGACAGAGAGAAAGATCCCACTTGGATGCAGTGGCAAGGAGCCTCAGGAGACCCGAGGCTAACCTCTTGAGTTGAGCATACAGGGGGGCTGAAGAGTGCTACACCCCAACTGAAAAGGAAATCTTGGCCACATATGGGGGGGCTTGGACCTCTTCCGAAGTAGTCAGTATTGAAATGCAGCTCCTTCTGGCACCTCGACTGCCAGTGCTGAACTGGATGTTTAAAGGAAAGGTTCCCTCCATCCATCATGCGACTGATGCCACTTGGAGTAAGTGGGTTGCATTGATTACACAGCGAGCTCAAACGGGGAACCTCAGTCACCCACCAATCTTAGAGGTGATCGTGGACTGACCTGAAGACAAAAAGTCTGGAACATCACCAGCAGAAGAGGTACTGTGTGCTAGAGACCCCATCATCCGATGAACTACCAGAAAATGAAAGTAGCCGTTCTCTGATGGATGGTATCCTATTGTTGGGAAGCATTGCAGATGGAAAGCTGCTGTGCGGAGCCCTATATGACAAGTTGCAGAGGCCACCAAAGGAAAAGGAGAATCAAGCCAATTTGCAGAGGTAGGGGCTGTTCAACTGGCCTTAGATGTTGCTGGACGGGAGAGGTGGCCAATGATTTATAGTGACTCACGGATAGTGGCAAATGCCTGATGGGGGTGGTGAAAGCAGTGGGAACAAAACAACTGATAAAGAAGGGGTACATCTATTTGAACTGCTGAACGGTGGAAAGACGTTGTTGCCCAAGTAAAGAATATGGTTGTAAAGGTGTGTCACATAGATGCTCACGTGCCCAAGAACTGGGCTACTGAAGAACAACAAAATAACCATCAGGTAGATTAAGCCTCTAAACTTAAGGCGGCTCAAATGGACTTGAACTGGCAACACAAGGGTTAATTATTTCTAGCTCAGAGGGGAGGCTTGGCAGGTTGATTCCACCACCTTGCCATGATCTCACAGCAGGAAGCGTTATGTACTCACCATGGTGGAGGTAACCACTGGGTGGCTGGAAACATACACATACCCCATGCTACTGCCCACAACACCATATTAGGTCTGGAGAAACAAGTCCTGTGGCAACACGGCACTCCAGAAAGGATTGAATCAGATAATGGGTCTCGTTTCCAAAATTCTCTTGTGAACACTTGGGCCAAAGATCATGGCGTTGAGGGGATTTATCATATCTCCTATCATGCACCAGCTTCTGGTACAATCAAATGACACGTCTTGTTAAAAACTGTGTTGAAAGCAATGGGTGGCAGCACATTTGAGCACTGGGAGAAGCGCTTGGCAGAAGCCACGTGGTTGGTCAACACTCAAGGATCGGTCAATGGCGATGGTCCAACCCAACCCAGCTCCCTACATAACATACAGGGAGATAAAGTCCCTGCAGTACATATAAAGAGCATCTTGGGAAAAGCACTGTGGGTCCTTGCAGCCTCTGGAAAGGGCAAAACTCACAGTGGAACTGTTTTTGCTCAGCGTGATGCAGAAAGAGGGGATGTTCAATGTGTACCACAAGGGAATTTGACGTTGGCCGAGTGTATTCAGTCATTCCACGTGTATGTACATGTGTGTGTGCTTAGTACAATTATTACAACGTTAATTACATGTTGATACATGCTAACTGAGAACGATCTGTATGTATTTAGATATTGAGCATGATACAGTAATGTGGAATAAGGGATGCAGTGTTAGTTTTATGATGTTTTGTCACCAGTACTCCACACCATTGCATCCAGGCTGGATGTGGCACTGGGCAGCCTGGTCTAATGGTTGGCGCCCTGCCCACGGCAGGGCCTTGAAAATACATACCTTTGAGGTCCTTCTCAACCCAGGCCATTCTATGATTCTGTGATTGTGTGCAGTGCTTTGGGATTTACAGTTACTGCTCTGGGTAGCTGGTTCTGAGAAGAACTACATGCCCCAGGGGACTCTGTGTTTCCATTCACACATCAGAGGTAAAGATAAAAACTGTTTGCACATCACAAGATGTCTCTTTTTTCACTTTCTGCTCGTCCTGGCAGCACGTGTGCTCACCTTCAGCATTACAGCAAGACCTTCAGCTTTCAAACACTCTCTCTCTCTCTCTCACTTTTATTTATTAACTCCAATTCCCATTAGACTGTACTATATTGTGTTATCTTGCGTTCTGATATATTTTCTAGTAAATGAGCTTTCCTCTTCAGATCACTGCCACTGTTTGGATGTTAGGCCCGTCTACCTGTCCTTTTCCCTTTTCCTCCTTCCCCTTTTTCCTTTTCCCATTCTCCCTTTTCTGGGGCATGGATCCGTGGATCCTCCTCCTTCACCAGTCACAGAACCGGGCCAAACCACGTCACAAACTGCTGACATGCGCTTAAAGGGTCTCTCTCCTGTGTGGATGATGGGTGGCAGGTGAGGTAGAAACTAGTTCTGAAGCTCTCGGGACACTCGGGACACTCGAAGGGTCTCTCCCCTGTGTGGATGCGCTGGTGGCGCTTCAATACAGAATTGTATTTGAAGCTCATCTCACACTCACGACACTTAAAGGGTCTCTGTCCTCTGTGGATGCGCTGCTGGTAGGTGAGCTGGGAATTGATTTTGAAGCTCTTTGAACAATCAGGACATGTAAAGGGTCTCTTTTCTGTGCGGATGCGTGTGGTGCTGTAATTGATAAGCAAATTTGAAGCCCTTCCCACACTCAGAGCACTGAAAGGGTCTCACTGCTGTGTGCATTCGCTGGTGACACTTCAGTACAAAACTGTACTTGAAGTGCTTCCCACACTCACAACACTTGAAGGGTCTCTCTCCTGTGTGGATGCGCTGGTGGCACTGCAGTACAGAGCTGTATTTGAAGCCCTTCCCACACTCGCAGTACTTTATGTGCCTCTCTCCTCTGTGTATGCACTGGTGGCCAGTGAGGTGGGAATTGGTTTTAAAGCTCCTTGGACAATCAGGACACTTGAAGGGTCTCTCCTCTGTGTGGATGCACTGGTGGCAGGTGAGGGGGAAACTGTTCTTGAAGCTCTTTGGACACTCAGAACACCTAAAGGATCTCTCTCCTCTGTGGATGCGCTGATGGAAGGCGAGGTGGGATTTCCATTTGAAGCTTTTGGTACAATCTGAACACTTGTACAATCTCTTCATTGAGCATACACAACAGTGGTTAAAAAGCTTTTCAGGCTTTTTCCACACTCAGCACGTGGGTTCTGCCTTTTCTCCTGGCACACTTCCTTACTCCTTGCATCTTCAGGCTGTTTTTGACCTGTGCTGCAGTCCAGGAGATTCCTCACAGTCTCTCCTGGAGGGTTTCCCTGTTGCTTCTTGAGGTGCTCTACTTGTTTCAGATCCCCTTGGATATCCTTTCTGATTTCTTCCACCAAGACACTTCCACACCGCCTTTCAGTCACATCACAATTCTGTACACCCTCCTCAACAGTTGTGATTCCATGTCCTGCTGGATGACAGAGAAAAGCCAGAAATAACACAGTAGGCCTAAACTATTTCTCAGACAAAGATGGTTCTTGTCAGCCCAACCTCCTCCTGTCCCCCACCATCTCACCTGGGCTGAGATCTCCTGCCATGTCCTCCAGGACATGCACATCTGGGTCCCAGGGGTCTTCCTCTCCTTCAAGCAGGGAGACCACCATAGGTTTGGGGGCTGGACATGGAGGTTAAATACAGAAGCAGAGGACGTGAAAGCATTCCGATGATTCTGGCACAGCTGCTTCTCCAACAACTCCACTCGGTGTCCCTCCCAACTTCTGTAACCACAATAAGGGCCTGGATGACACTGGGCCAACACATACTGGCTTGCTTTGAAGCCCAACATGACCTCGACGTACCTGAAAATTATGCAGGAACAGTTTCTCTAATGTTCACCTTAGGATTTCTTTTTTTAAATTGTATCCAAACTGCTTAGTGCCCAAGGCTTCATAAAGGTTTGCAATAATTCAATGGAAAAGGAAAAAAAAAGGCAAATAACCAGAGTTGTCAGGTTGCTGGAGCACGGCGGCACAATGCAACGCAGCAATATGCAACACAGCCACACAAAGACAGCTTGCAGGAGCTGATCCAACCCCTCCCAGCTGATGGCTGCTGGCCAGCAGTGACTCTGGACCATTTCTCAGAGTTCTAAGCAGCTAATCCTTCCTGAAACATATGAGAAACTTACCTACATTTTGTTTCTGGTGCTGCCGCGTTCCTCCACAAGTAACTACACTGCAATTATTCTAAGCCCTGCTTGCAGTGTCGTTCTACACAGCCAAAGGAGCCCTAACAAGGACGAAAGGCAGCAAAGCCCTCACCCAGCGAGGCCACGCACGCGTACGTCTCCAGCATCACGTCCCGGTACAGCGCTCGCTGCGCAGGGTCCAGCAGCGCCCACTGCTCCCTGCTGAAATACACGGCCACCTCCGCAAAGGTCACGGGCTCCTGCAAGCAAAGAGGCTCCTTGCTGGGAACTGCCACGGCCCAGGGAAGCAGCTGGCAGAGAAGAGAAAGGCACCTCCCTCTCCCCATGCATTCACATCCCTCACTTGCTTGCTTCCCCACACTCCTACCTGAGATGGATGCGGTGTGGCCATTTGTTGCTCTCCCGCAGACTGCGATTGTCACAGGTGAAAGGCAGGAGTTTCACTGCAGCCTGCTGGGACGTAAGAATCGGCAGGATAGGTGTGAGGGAATGCTGCTGTCCCTAGAATCATACAATCATAGAATCGCAAGGTTGGAAATGACCTACAAGATCATCTAGTCCAACCCCCCTCCCATTCCTGTCAGTACCACAAGCTACTAAACCATATCTCCTGGCTCCTCATCCAGGCACCTCTTCAACACTGCCAGGAATGGCGACTCCACCACTTCCCTGGGCAGCCATTGCAATGCCTGACCGCCCTCTGAGAGAAAAAGTTTCTCCTAATGTTCAACCTCAACCTCCTCTGGTACAACTTCTGGCCGTTTCCTCGGGTCCTACTGTTTGCCTGGGAGAAGAGGCCAGACCCTTTTGCACCACAACCAAGGAGGGATCTCCGACCACAGATCCTCCCCAGTGGCTGTCAGCCCGTTGATGGGGTCTAAGGGAGTGCAGCCAGGCTCAAACCCTTCCTATCACACAGCTAAATTGCCTTCGCCTGCGCTGCCAGGGCTGACCAGTCCTTTCCCAGGCAATCCATCAGCGGATCTGGCCGGGACTCAGCAGTTGCCACAGAAGCAGTGACGCCGTGGGGCAGGGACACAGTGGAGCAATGATGCTACGGGGCAGCGTTGTTAGGGGGGAGCAGCACGGGGGAGCGCTGCTACGCGGCAATGACAGTTTTTGGTGCGGCGCTGTGGGGCACTGATGCTATTGGGCGGCTGTGGCAGCATAGCGAGAAAGAGATACGGAAGCGGAACGGCAAAGGGACGACCAGGAAGATTGCTCAGCGATCTCGGAACATCTCGGCGCACGGGGAAAAGGAAGGATCTCCAGGAAGGCCCTTCCACGGGATCCAAGAGAGGTGCGGCCCCCCCTTCCGATCACACCGCTGCACGGCCGCTACCTGCGCTGCCAGGGCTGAGCGGCCCGCTGCCAGGCGATCCATCAGCGGGCCGGGCCGGGACTCAGCACTTCCCGTTCGGCACCAAGAGCCCGAGGCGGCTGACAGCAAACGGCGACACGGGAGAGGATCTCAGCCGGCAGCCGGGCGGCGCTTCGCCCCCGGGGACAGCGGGCAGCGCCTGCGGGAAACGCGGCCCGGTGCGGCTTCAGGCCGTGGAGCAGCGCAGGAAGCCCCGGGACGGAGCGGGGAACGATCGCAGCGGAGAAAGCCGGCGGAGCGAGCGACGCGCCGTGACGTCACCGCGCGCCATGATGACGTCACGTCCGGCCTGCAGCGGAAGCGGAGTGCGGACGGGCGGGGGGGGAGTGGGACGGGGCGGGAGCGGCGCTGCCGCAGTTCGTATCCGGGGCTGCGGCGCGGAGCCGGGGGGCGGTGGGTGGCGGCCGGCGGGACGCGCGGACGGCGCGGGGCTGCAGCAGCGCTGCGCGGGGCGGCTGAGAGCAGGCGGTGAGGCCCGGCCCGCACTGTGCTGCGCCGCGTCCCGTCCCGTCCCGTTCCGCAGCGCTGCGGGAAGCGATGGGAGCGGCTGCGGTGCAGCGCTTCGCTTACTGCAAACGGCGCGTGTTTACGATGGGCGGCGGCTTGGCAAGACGGGCGTAGAAAGAAATGGGAGGAGCGAGAGAGGCGTGTGAGCCGCGGAAGGTATTGTTAATGCAGACGGCGTGAAGGTGCTGGGTGTGCAGAGGCCTCTTCTGCAGGGAGAAACGGGCTGAGCTGCCAGCAGCTTCCGTCAGTGCCCGCCGAGCGGCGAGCTGAAGTCGTGGGCAGTGCCTGAAGGGAGGCTCCGTGAAAGCTGGGATGGGGCTGTTTGATAAGGGTGTGTGGCGACAGGATGAGGGGAAACGGCTTTCAAGTGGAAGGAGGTCGATTTAGGCTGGCTGTTAGGAGGAAATTATTTCCTGAGAGGGAGCAGCTTGTGGATGCCCCCGCCCTGGAGGCATTCAGTGCCAGGCAGGACGGGGCTGTGGGAGGTGTCCCAGCCTGGAGCAGGGGATTGGAACTGGATGATCTGAAAGGTCTCTTGTAAGCCAAGCCATTCGGTGGTTCTGTGATCCTTTGGGAACTGCAGAGGAGAATGGCTTGAAGGAAACAGGAGCACTGCAGATGCAGTGTGCAGTTCAGAGAGCACCTCTGTGCAGTGAGAGCAGGGAGCGCCTGAAGCAATACGGCCCAGACACAGAGAGCAGCTCAGAACGGTGATGGAACCGTGGAAACACGAGGCTGGAGTGGAGCTACAAGATCATCCCATCCAACCGTCCTCCTCCCACCGCTACCACCGCTGAGCTACTCAGCTTTATCTTGTGGCACCTCGACCAGAGTGTCAGTGGTCTGTGGGCTGGTTCGGCCTGGTTCCGTGACTGGCGGGAGGGGGGATCTGTGGATCCGCACCCTGGAAAATGGAAATGGGAAAAAGGATGAAGAGATGGGCTCTGAAACAGAACAGAAGCGACGATCTGAAAGGAAACAAACTAATTTGCTAGAAAAGATATCGGAATGCCAGATAACACTCTGTAATACAAAATAATACAAGATCATTAGAATATGAGCTAAAAAATCAAATGCAAAGAGAGAGAGTGTCCAAAAGCCAAAGGCCTTACGCTCATGCTGAGGCAGACGGGCAACAGAGGTGAGCCAGACGATGAAAAGGGCCATCAGGTGACCTCCCAAGGCCTTCTGTCTTTTCCCTCTGAGCAGAAATGGTAACAGAACAGTGAACAGCACCCCACGGCCAAGAGGACCCAGTGTCCGTGTTCACATATCCTCATCCCTGACACCGAAGGGATTCTGGTGCCTTTGTTTGGGTACAGAATGTACACCCGTGGGCAAGGGGACCCTCTGTCCATGTCCCTGTAGTGTAGTGACAGAGCTCAGGGGGCTTTGGCATCAACGTCCCCCCCGTGGCCCAGAGGGACCCAATGTCCACGTCGCCATACCCGTGTCCCCCGTGCCAAGGCCACCTCGGTGTCACCCATGGAGGACAGAAGGTGTCCGGGTGCCACGTCCCCATGTCATTGTTGCCAGGAGCCAAGGAGACCTCAGTACCACTTTCTTTGGGGTACGGTAAGGACGCCCGGTGCGTCCTCGTCCCCATGACAAAAGGAGCCCGGTGTCCTGGTCCAGGTTTTCCTGTCCTCAGGGCCGAGGGGACCTCAGTGTCACCTTTGGGGTACCAGAAGGGTCCCCCACATCCATGTCCCCGATGCCAAAGGGACACCACTGTCACCTCTGGGGTCCAAGTGTCCATCTCCGTGTGTTTGTGGCACAGAAGGGTCCCCGACATCCCCAGTGCTGAGAGGACCTCACTGTCACCGTGGGACTACAGAACAGGGTGAGGCGTTCATGTCACCGCCATGTTATCCCAGTGCTAAAGGGACGTCCGTGTCACTTTCAGGGTACAGAAGGGCCCCAAGCGTGTGTGCGCCCTATGTCCGTGAGCCTGTGCCCAAGGGGATCCCATGTGCACGTCCCCATGTCCCCAATGCAAAAGGGATTTTGGTGCCCTTTTTTTGGATACAGAAGGGAACCCTGTGCCCACGTCACTGCAGCCGAGGGCTCCTCCAGGAGTGCGCATCCCCACGTCCCCAGCACAGAGGGGACCTCACCGTCACCTCCGGGGTACAGAAGGGCCCCCGACGGCATTTCGGGGGTTCGTCGCCCTCCCTCACTCCCCCCAGCCCTCCCCCAGCTCCTCCAGCACCTCCCGCATGGTCCCCGTCCCCCCCCCCGACCCGAACACGCGATCGATGCGCTTCTCCCGGTCCCACACGCAGCGCCCGCGGTAGCGGATGCGCACGATGCGGTGTTCGGGCACCGCCAGGTCCGCGGGCCCCGCGTCGCACAGCGGCCCCGTGAAGAACTCCAGCAGCGGCCGCTCCACGACGCCCACGAAGCGGTCGCGGTACTCCACGGTGGCGGCCGCGGGGTCCGCTCGAGGGTCCCAGCGGAGGCGGCTGAGGACGGCGGCGGCGCGGCGCAGCGGCGGCTTCTTCCCCGCCGCTCCCGGTTCGTCCCGCGTCGCTGCCGGTTCCGGGCCGGCGGTCGGACTCCGCCCCGGGTGCGGGCGGCGGCAGCGCGGCCCGAAACGGCAGCGGCCCTCCAGGAACCAACGGCACGGGGCGGGCGCCGGGGCCGGAACCGGTTCCGCGGCGCCGGGACGCCGATCCGGGTCCGGGTCCTCGGGACCGCGATTCAGATCGGGCTCCGCGTTCGCGGGTCCGGGCGCCGGGTCCGCGCCCGCGTTCGGGTCTGGTTCCGCGAGTCCGGAGCGCGGCTCCGGTCCCGGCTGCGGGGATCCGGGCCGCAGACCGCCGTCCATGGGTCCGCGGTGCGGGTCCGGGTGTGGCAGCGGGCCCGTGAGTCCGGGGGCCGGAACCGGGTCCGTTCGGTGGCTTCGGGAGCGGCACCGGGCGCGGTGCGGGCAAAGAGCAGCGTGGGACGGGGCGGGGCCAGGACAGAAAGGGGGCGTGGCTGATGGCACGAAGGGGCGTGGTTAACGGCGATGGGCGTGGCTGGAATCGGACCGACGGCGTGCGGGGGCGTGGCCAAACGGAAAGGGCGTGGTTTAGCCAAAAAGCGACGGGCGCAGGGCATGGGGGCGTGGCCAGGAATGGTAGGGGCGTGGCTTCAAAACTGAGACGACCCGGGGGGCGTGGCCAGGTTACGGCGCGGGGCGTGGCCAAGGAGCTGCACCGGTGCCTATGGGCGTCTGGTTGTGTTTGACCTGAATGAGTATCAGTGCAGCCATTTACATCCCACTCCCCCCCCCATGGTCCACGGCACCATTTATTGCCTTTTCACCTCCAATTTCCCTCACTGCACCGGGTCAACTGCCCCCATCTCTTCTTAATTTTGAGTTTTTCCCTCCCTTCCTTCCTTCATTGCCTCCTTCCTTCTTTCCTCCCTGCCTCCCTTCTTATCTCCCTCCCTCCCTGCCTCCCTTCCTACTTTCCTTCCCTACTCCTCATGAGAGGCAGATGAGGCAACACGGAGCCTTCCATGGGCAGCAGTTGTTAGGATGAGCCCTCGGTGGGGAGTGTTTGATGAGAATGTGTGCTTGGTTCAGGGCGTAGGGATGGAGCAGGCTCCCTCTGCACGCGGGGTTTTGAAAGACATTCCAAATGAAGCTGACAGCCGCTGGGACTTCCCTTTGGAGCCCTTTTTCATACCGACCCGAGCTGGGGTTGGCGTTTGGATCACGGAATCAATAAGGTTGGAAAATGTGAGAGGCGGGTGGTGTTTTTGCAGTGGAAGTTTCCAGTGTTTTCTGTCTGTAGTCTCGGCCCTGACCGAACTGAAAACCTTCCTGCGAAACAGTGATACAAGTTGTTTTTCACCAAGAAAGCTGCTGAACGGAGTAAAGTGCAGATTGGGGCGTTTCGGCTCAGGTAGGATTGAGACAGGCACGAGGCAAAGGAAACAGGCAGGGCGGGGAGAGCCTAGCGCAGCACGGAACCAATGTGCTTCCCTTTGGAAACACTGCCCTCCTACCTGTGTAGGAAAGCACAGGCCATACCTAAAAACAACCAGTTGGTACCAGACCTTCTATTGTGGCAACAGCGTCGGGAAGATGGTGACCAGGAGAAGCTCCACCAACCTGTGCCAGGAGAGGAATTACCGCGTCGGACCCGGGGATGGAACTGAACGAATGGACTGCTGTGCAATTTCTGCCTTTGGCCAGCAGGGGCCCATTGTTGCAATGATGGACAGACTTTGCTGCTATCACAAAGATCTTTGCCTGCTTAAAAATCTACGATTCGGAGCGTTTTCCTCAGCGATGGATGACACAGGGAACACGCGGTGATCACGAGGGGTGGGATCATGGCGAGGCCGTGGGGCGACCGCGGGCTGAGCACGGGATGACAGTGAAGGGAACACAGAGGGAAACACCATAGGATCACGGGGAGGAGCGTCAGGTGGGAATGAGGTTGTGAAGAGGTGGGCATGGGGTGGCCATGGGGCAAGACGTGTCAGCGCCCTCCACCCAACGCCCAGCCAATCCCCGAGCGTCAAGCATCGTCTGTATTCTGCCCAACTCCACACAGCTTTAAGGCCTTCCGCATGGCGTCACGTATGCTTGGATGAGGACACCTGTCCTGGCTCCACGTCATCATGGCAATGGTTCTTCCCCTCTCCGTGGCCCGGCCCGGCCTCAGGAGCGCTCCATCACTCAGCAACAGCCAAAAAAGCAGCGTGCTACTCGCAGTGTCTGAGCTGGAACCAGAACACTGCGAGCTCATTTCGATGGGAACACCGAGTGATCGCCAGGTGTCACGGCCTAAGCGTAACACAGCCAGGAGATGGGTGAGAAAGTGGGTGCAGAATGTGTGTCTCCGGGATGACCGCGGGGTAATGATGGTGAGGACATGGGTTGGCATGCTGAGAACACGGTGGCAACATCGGGTGACCACAGGGTTGCTAGGAAGGAGTCTCAGGGGGAAAAATGGCTTGAGAGTGAAGGGATCGGAAGGGGAAAGTCTGGCCAGTGTGGGGTGAGCACGGGTAACCCTGTGGGTCATATGAGGCAAAGATGGTGTTGTGATGGGTGATGGGGTGACAAAGAGGTGACCACTGGGTGACCACGGTGGGGTGTCATTGGGTGACCACAGTAAGGAAGGGGAAGGACCACGGAGTCAACAGCTCAGCGAGTTCTAATTGAGAAGGGGACAGAGCAGGCTGTGCAGGGGCAGCAGGGAACGCGGTGACAACACAAAGGGAAACTCTAGCTCCTGGCTGGGGAGCGCAGGACATGCTGGTGGAGCAGCAGCTGCTAGTTGAGGATCCCTGCAGGGAAAGGGGGAGAAATGAGGACCGCAGTGAGCTTGGGGCTCCTGGGTACAGCGCTGTCACTGGGGGAATGAGAAATTACCTGGAGTGGTTGGATCGGGGTGCCCTGAAACTGAGCGAGACGAGGTCATGGTCACATTGAGCGAGCGTGGCCACAGCTCACCGCCGCCATCTCCTTCCCCACAGCACAGCCCCGCTGCCCCACTGCTCACCTTTCTTAGTGTGCAGGAAGAGGAAGAGCCCCAGCGCCAGGTAGACGAGCCCCACCACCAAGCCCCCGATGCCCACCAGCAGCTTGCTCCTGCCCACATCCACCAGCGGCTCTGCAGGGACAGGAAGGGGAGCTCAGGTTCTGAAGGCCACGCTCCCACTCCCCCCAGAGCCGACAGGGGCGAGGGGCCTTACCCCAGGGCTGGCCGATGGGCTGCCGCAGGCTGGTGTGCTCCACCCGGCACGCGTAGCTGTCCCCGTGCCGTGGGCTGGTCTCCAGCAGCACCAGCACCTGGTAGGTCCAGTCCCCGTTCTGGATCACGTCCGTGGACACGACGCGCTCCGTCTCCTCCCGCCCATTCTGGAACCACTTCACTTCGATCTCGGGTGGGTAGAAGCCCGTCACGTAGCAAGCCAGCCGGTCGCTTTGGGGCTGGGAGCCCGACTGCAGCGCACAGATCCTCACCTTGGGCTCTGCCGGGGGACAGAGGGAGAGCGTTGGGGACGGGCTGTGAGAGCGCCGCGTGTGCTCATCAGCGCTGTGCCCGTCGCGAGCTGTGCGGACGCGTGAACTCACCTCTCTTCCGCAGCGTCACAGGGGCCACTGTCTCGTGGTTGTAGTTGCAGAGCATTTCCACCGCAGCCCTGTTCTTCTCCAGCACGTCCGGCTGGCTGTTGAAGAGCCGAGCAGAAGGCTCTCCCAGGACCGTGTCGGCCACGAAGAGACCGACGTCGCTGTCGAAGTGCACGTACTGCTGCCGGTTGTAGACGTGCCTCACCAGAAACCTCGTCCGCTCGGTGCCATTGAGGAAGCGGCACTCAACTGTAGCGCTCCACTGGAAAAACGCTGCGGGGAGAGGGCGCCGTCACGGAGCGCAGCGGCCCCTCGCCGGACCCGAGAGCCCCTCCCCGCCCTCGCTCCGTCCCGGCCCCACCCCGCGCCCCCCACGGCTGCGGTGCCGCTGGCGTCCCGGAGCCCCGGGGCTCCGAACGCCGCGCGCGGGGCTGGGATGGGTGCCGGGAGAGCCCGGCAGGGACCGGCCTGCACCATCCCCACCCCGGCTCTCCGCGCTCACCCGAGGGCCGCGTGCCAGCGGCCAGCCGTGCTCCCAGCGCCACCGATGCCACCAGCACGGCCCCGGCCGCCACCGCACGGCCGCTCCCCATGGCTGCTGTGGGAGGACGATGAAGGGAGCAGGGAGTGCCTGGGCTGGGCGGCATCACCCGTCTCCGGGCAGATCTCCATTGCGGGTACCTCGATCAGCCCTGGCGTGACGGCGCCGTCCTGCGTGCCGTCCGTCTGTGTGTCTGTCTGTCTGTCTGCTCCGAGGAATGCTCGCTGCCGCTGCTCTGCCTGGGAACAGCCGTATCGCTCCCAGTGCTCCACCACTGCCTGAGCCCCACGGGTGGCCCCGTGCTCCCTCCATGACATTGCCACGCTCGCTCAGTGGTTGCCACGCGGTTTCACTGTCCTCGCACCATGCTCAACTCTTTATCATCCCTTTCTCACTCCGTGTTCCGCTCATATTACTCCTGTCGTCTGCGCATGGACACCTGACAGAAATGCCACTGTCTGCCCTTCGTCTTCTCATTGTCACCCGCTGTTTGCTCCAGCACCCTCTTGCTTACTCCACGCTCCCCCCTTTGATCCATGATCCCCACGGTCCATCCATAGCGAACCCACGATCCTCCAGTGCTCTCACCACGCTCACCTGTTTGTCACCCCATGTCTGCTCCAGCACCCAAGGGCAGGTGCCCATTCAGGGGATGCGTGGGGCAGGATTGGGATGCAGACAGTGAGGGCACCCGGGATATTACCTCTCCTCACAGGAGGCCCTGCTTGGCACAAGCACCTCTCATCTTGAGATGATTTCCACAGTGCCCACAGCCGGGCCCAGGGCGCTCACAGGGTCTCACTTCTCTCAGAGGTGGCCGGGGCAGCATTTCATTTCATTTCATTTCATTTCATTTCATTTCATTTCATTTCATTTCATTTCATTTATTTCTCTTCCCCCTCCAGTATTTCATGGTGGCCAAATGTAAGAGGCAGCCCTGTGACGCAGAGCTCTCTCCATACACCAGTGACAGATGCCACCAGCCCTGCTGCTAACTGCTCTGTGGGACACGCTCAGTTGCTTCCTGTGCCACTTCCCAGGCTCTTTCCATTCTTTCCGGCCTGTGGTCGCTCTATGCTCATCCCAGTGTCATTGCATGGTCAGTTGGTGGCCACACAATATTCTGCCCACGGTCTCTCCATGCTCACCCCACAGTTCCTTCACACTTCCTTCATAGTAACTTCATGGTCACCCGATGGTCCCCCTGCTCTCCCCGTGGTTATCCCAAGATACCCCCATAATCGCCTCTTTGCCCCCCATTCTTATGGGCTGTTACCTCTGATGTCTTACCGCGGTCACATCATGTTCTCCCCGTGGTCCCCTTTGATCACCCCATGGTCACCCACGGTTGCCCTCACGGACCTCCCAGACCTCACAGCGCTGTTGCGCGGGGCTGCAAACGCTGCAGTGACACAGGTCAGCAGTGGGGCTGGGCTGTGTCCAAGCACCCTTCCTCTGACCAAGCACCCCAAGGACAGGACCCACATAAGGGGATGTGTGGGTCAGGATGGGGATGCGGGGCTATGATGGCACACGGGACGCTCAGCCTCATCACAGCGGGCTCCTGTGGCTGCAGGCACCATTCATCTGCACGACCTTGAGCACGAGGACGGTGCCTGTGTCGATGCTGGCCGTAGCCATGGTCAGGCCTGTGGTGCACACCAGAGTCTCAGTGCTCTTGGAGGTGAGCAGGAGCAGCTGGGGCTGTGCTGGGGGATGCAGTGGTGTTGAGCTGTGACCATGCTGACCTCGTCTCGCTCAGTTTCAGGCCACCCCGATCCAACCACTCCAGGTAATTTCTCATTCCCCAGTGACATCACTGTGCTCAGAGGAGCCCGAAAACCACTCTGGTCCTCCCTTTCCCTGCAGGGATTCTGAATTACGAGCTGCCCCACACTGCTGCTCCACCAGCATGTCCTGCGCTCCCCAGCCAGGAGCTAGAGTTTCCCTTTGTGTTGTCACCGCGTTCCCTGCTGCCCCTGCACAGCCTGCTCTGTCCCCTTCTCAATTAGAACTCGCTGAGCTGTTGACTCCGTGGTCCTTCCCCTTCCTTACTGTGGTCACCCAAAGATACCCCGCTGTGGTCACCCAGTGGTCACCTCTTTGTCACCCCATCACAACACCATCTTTGCCCCATGTGACCCACATGATTACCCATGGTCACCCTACGATGGCCAGACTTTCCCCTTCTGATCCCTGACCTATTTGTCACCACATTCTTATCCACGGTCACCTCATGACTGTGTTGTGTTTTGGCTGTGACACCCCATGACCACCCAGTGTTCCTGTCGCAGTGTCCTCGTTCCAACTCAGACACTCTTTGGTGGCCCAAGGATCTGTAGGGACCCCCATGGAGCTCAGCAGTGGGACGTGGCCATGGTCAGGCCCATGGTGCACACCAGAGTCTCAGTGCTCTCGGAGGTGAGCAGGAGCAGCTGGGGCTTTCAAGTGCAACAAGGGATCACAAGGTGAGCGCCGAGCTACCATGAGGTGAACCTTGGGAACCACAGAGATAATATGAGGGCGATGGTTTTGACTGGGAGATGATGAGGACAGAGATGATGAGACCCCTGAGTCCCCCTGCCTTCCTTTCATAGTGACCTCAGTAGTTTGGGCAGAGGCAGAAGTGACGGGGCTCTTCACCTCTGACACTACGGTGGTGAGCGCTCACGTGAGGGCTGGATCCAGGGCCCACACAGGGAAATGCCCGGCCATGTCTGCGTTCACCCAGACAGAACCGCTATGAAAGGAGACTTTGTTCAGGCTGTCCATTTCACCCAGTGCCTCGAACCTCCTCCTGCTGATAAGGCCAGTCCCTGCACAAGGAGCATCATCTCTTAGGGCAGGGAGCTGAGCTGCACAAAGCAGATAAAAAGCTTTGTGGTATTGGACAGAGAAAGAGGGGTGGTTTAACAACGCTACTGCAACTGCAGACAACACTCAGCCTGGTCCCTGGTGACCCACAGAAACAGAGCTCCGCTTCAGGCCTCGCTCTGCAGCTTGGAACAAGCAGGGATCTCCTCTAGAGATGCCTGCATCTCGACTGCCTTTTCTTCTCTGAAGTGTCCGTACATCAGCACATGCAGCGTGGGGAATAAATGGGAATAATCTGAGGGCTGTGCGAGGCTGCAGAACCGTGATCTTATGGCTACCACAGAGACACAGTGGGAACAGCTCTGATGACTGGAAGGCCGACGTGGATGGTTATGACACTTTTTGGAAGGACCGGCCAGCAAGGCAGGGACTGGACTTCAGAGAATCATTGAATCATTAAGGTTGGAAAAGACCTCCAAGGTCTCATCTACTGCAATCAGCCACCCACCACCAGGAGCACCCACCAAAACACGCCCCTAAATTCTACATCCGTCCTTTGCTTAAGCAACTCCAGAGACGGTGACTCCACCAATTCCCTGGGCAACCTGTTCCAGCAATCACTCTTCTGAGAAGAAACTCTTCCTAATACCCAACCCGACCCCCCCCCGGCACAACGTGACCCCATTCCCTCCCTTCCTATCACTCGCCATCCAGGAGAAGAGGCCGAATTCCGCCTCCCTTTCAGGGCGTAGCAGAGAGCGATGACGTCTCCCAGTCCTTCTCTTCTCTGGACTGAACACTTCCAGTTCCTTCAGCTGCTCCCCACAAGATCTCTGCTCCAGCCTTCACAGCTCCGTCGCCCTTCTCTGGACACATCCCAGGCCCTCGGCGCCTTGCTGTGTGCGGCCCAGCACTGAACACAGCATCTGAGGGGACGACGGCCTCCTGCTCCTGCTGCTGATACAAGCCAGGATGCCAGTGGCCTTTTGGCCTCCTGTGCTCACCGCTGGCTCACGTTCAGCTGACTGCAGAACAACACCCTGTCATGGCCTTATGATTTTGGGTTATGGGTATTCCACTCGTACCACAGTGTGATACATGTGATGGACCACACTGCAAGTACAACAGTTAATGCTCCAGTTCCATGGACTGTGCATACATCTGGGTACCGCTTCTCAGAAGGGAAGAACCACATTCTGCACCCCTAAAAGGACTTTGTGTTATTCTGATTCCATTTTCTGCTCAGAAGTAAGGATAAAACTGTTTGCATATTGCGAGATGTTCCCTTTTTCCTCTTCTGCTTGGCCTGGCTAGATGTCTCATCTGCCTCAGCATGAGAGCAAGGCCTTCAGTTTTTGGACACTCTCTATCTTTTTACTTATTAGCTTCAATTCTAATTTATTGTATTATAGTGTGTTATCTTGCATCCTGATATCTTTTTTAGTAAACTAGTTTGTTTCTCCTCAGGTTGTTGCTGCTGTTTTGTTTCCAGGCCCATCTCCCCACCCTTTTCCATTTTTCCCTTTCATTTTTCCCCAGGCCTGGGTCAATTGCTGACAAACCCCCAGGTCTGTTTCCTCCGCTCAGCTTTTCAGCCACTCTGCCCCAAGCCTGTAACCATGTAACAACCATGGGGTTGTTGTGCCCAGTCTGCAGGACCTGGCATTGTTCTTTGTGACCTTCAGCCATTAGACAGTCTGCCCAAGTCCCTCTGTAGGGCCTTTCTACCCGTAGGAAGATTGACACTTGCCCCTTGCTTGGTGTCATCTGTAAACTTACTGATGATGCACCCAATGCCCTCATCCAGATTGTCAACAGAGATATTAAGCAGGGCAGGACGCAGTGCTCACCCATGAGGAACAGCAGTGCTGAGCGGGGGCCAGCAGGACCTATTTCCTTTCATCAGCCTTCCTGGACCCCTTTACCCTTCAGGTCTGACTCCCACGGGATCCTCCTGTTGTGGCTGAACCTGAGGCGGCTCGCACAGATGTTCGCTCACCCCCCTTCCCAGTGCCACGGGCCAGAGAATAGCAAACAAAACAGTTATTTACTAACACGGAGGAAAGGAAAAGGATAATCGTTATGACAAACACATCTCCATAGCAATGTATGTAACAAGTGATGCACAAGCAATTGCTCGCCGCTTCCAGAACAGTGCCCAGCTTGCCCCTCAAACAGCAGATTGAGCAAAGCGAACACCCACCCCCTTCAAAACTCCTTCTGCTTGATGTCACATGCCACGGAATATTCCTTTGGCCACTTTCAGTTGTCCTAATTCTCCTCCCTCCCAACTGCCTGGGCCCTTCGCTGTGAATGGCCTTGGCTCTGTACAGCACTGCTGAGCAGCAGCTATAAACATCGGTGTGTCAGCAACGTTGCTTTTCTCCTGGAACCAAAACACAACGTCACACCAGCCACTGTGAAGAAAACAGCTCAATCCCAGCTGAATCTCAAAGCTGCTGATGGGCACGGAGGTCTTGACGAGGGGCTCGTCTGCCTGGCACTGTGGCTCTTCTATTGCTGCGCAATGCAGAAAGTGAGCAGCAGGGCAGCGGAGGCTGTGCTGGGGGCTGTGGCCATGCTGACCTCATCTCACCGCGTTTCAGGGCACCCCATGCTTACCACACCAGCTAACATCTGATTCCCCCAGACCTGTTGCTCTTCTGACTCATAAGGGAGCTGCTCCCAGCCTCCATCATCTTCGCAGCCCTCTGCTAAACTCCCTCTGCCAATTCCTTGTCTGTCTTGTACTGAGGAGCCCAGAACTGAACGCCGTGTTCCAGATGTGGCCTCACCAAGGGCAGAGCAGAGGGGGAGGATCACCTTCCTCAACCTGATGACCACACTCATCTGATGCACCCTAGGATACCAGTGGCCTTCTTGGCCACAAGGGCACGCTGCGGGCTCACAGTCAACCTGCTGACCAGCAGGTCATCCAGGTCCTGCTCCTCAAAGCTCCTCTCCAGAAAGTCAGGCCTAACCTGTACTGACAACAGCGACTGTGCTGCCTTTGAAGCGTTTTTCAGTAACTCTCGCAATGACCTCCTCTGTAATTTTGCCAGGCACCAAAGAGAGACTGGCAGGACTGGAATCGGCAAGGTCTTCCTTCTCGCCCTTCCTACAAACTGAGATGTTTCCCAGCTTCCAGACAACTGGGACATCTTGCAATTCCCAGGATCCGTGGATAAACTCCATGGGCCATAGATTTACATGCATGCAACTGGAGCAGCAAATCCCACCCACGTTCGCAGTCCACTGGAAGCTTATCATCAGTGCAGTCGTGCTCCTCAACTCGGGGCTCCAGGAGGCCCACGACCCATCTACAGTGTTCAATGTAGAGGTGAAAAAACGTGCATTCTGTGACTGCTTGTTCTATGGCCCGACGTATGAGGTGATCAACCTCATCAAGCAACGAAGAGATGTCATCCACGATCCTCCTTTTGCTGGTTACACGAACCTTTCCATTGTCCCCCACATTAGTGGCCAGCTTCAGCTTTAACTGAGCTTGGACAGCATAAACCTTACCCTCAGAACAGCAGACAGCATTTCTGTTGTTCCCCCATGCCTGACCTGGCTGCAGTGTCCATTCACTTTCCTTTCCACCTGAACTCCAAGAGGAAAACTCTGCTCGGATAAGCTGGACTTCAGTCCCGCTTCCTGACTGCCAGCAGTCTGCTTCTACCTGCACAAGTGCTCTTGAGAGATGGCTCTTAAATGGCGACCAGCACCGATGGACTCCAGTGCCTAGGGCAAGAGATGCTGTTCTGGAGATCCCACTTTAATTCCATACAGAACCATTAATTGGGATCACCGTCTTACGTTAGATTCCCACTTAATTGTCTCATCCCTTAACCAGTACCCAGAGGCTCTCAGCCATGTCAGTGCCAACTCCAAGCTCCTTTGCGTATCCACCCTGTTCCCAGCTGAAAGAGAGCAGTATGCATAATTCCCATGGCAGGAGGGAAGGGGGAAGAGCATTTACCCCAAGAATGGATGTAAGGTCAAGAAGGGAGCCGCAGTCCATCCAAAGCACGGGAAAACTCTCCTGCTGATCAGGGAGAAATCAGGGGCTGGCTGATCCAAATACACCCAAGGGAAAATGTGAGCACCTCCTCCGAGCACTGGAGTGGCAATCGTGACCCTGGAGCGGGACGCACGCAGGGTATCTCTTACCCCAGCTGGGCACAGTGCTCTCTTTACAGTGCTCTCTCCTGCGCCCCATGCAGGGAAAGGGGTTTGCCAGCTCAGGGACTTCCGAAGCTGGGTGTCCATGAGGAAACTTCAAACCTGTGTTGCAGCTGCTGTGACTTGACTTGGTGACAGCAGTAAAATGTCACCAGGCAGTCGCTCTGCAACAGGTAACGGAGTGGTGAGCAGGAGACGACAGGAAAAGCACAAGTCGATTTTCATAGGCGATAACCAGGAAGGGAACAGGAGGGGTTGGATGTGTCCTGCGGCCGAGGTCGGGTACCCAAACATGGATGGGGTTTGTATTTCCCTGCTCTCAGCCACGCACCCCATTCCCCGCCCAGCTCACGGTGGATCTCCCCGTTCACACACTGGAGCACATCTTCATTACAGTGAGGATGACGTTACAGAGCTCTCCCTGCTGGCTGCAGCACTTTACCTGCCAGATGAAGGAGTCTGGGGACCCACCGGCTCCGTCTCTCGCGAGGATGTGCAGGAAGGCAGGGAGACAGGACCTGAAAGTAAAGCTCTGCACAAACTCAGGGCACTTTTATGGGCTGTCTCCTCTGTGGATGCGCTTGTGGGAGTTGAGTTTAGAACTGCTGCTGAAGCTCTTCCCACACTCACAGCACCGGTAGGGTCTCTCTCCCGTGTGGATTCGTTGGTGGACAGTCAGGTAGGAAGAGGTTTTGAAGCTCTTCTCACACTCAGAGCACTGGTAAGGTCTCTCTCCCGTGTGGATGTGCTGGTGGTAAGCGAGGCTGGAAGTGCTGCCGAAGCTCTTCCCACACTCGGAGCACTCAAAGGGTCTCTCCCCCGTGTGGACACGGCGGTGGCACTTCAATTCCGAGCTTCTTTTGAAGCTCTTCCCGCACTCTGAGCACTTGTAAGGTTTGTATCCCGTGTGGACGCGCAGGTGCACAATGAGGTCAGAGCTGCTCTTGAAGCTCTTCCCACACTCAGGGCACTGGAAGGGTCTCTCTCCGCTGTGCACGCGCTGGTGGATAACGACGTTGGAGCTGCTGCTGAAGCTCTTGCCACACTCAGGGCACTTAAAACGTCTCTCCCCTGTGTGGATGCGCCGGTGGTCAGCGAGATTGGAGCTGCTGCTGAAGCTCTTGCCACACTCAGGGCACTGGAAGGGTCTCTCTCCCGTGTGGATGTACTGGTGGTGGATGAGGTGGGAACTGCATTTGAAGGCCTTCTCACATTCTTGGCACTTAAAGGGTCTCTCTCCTGTGTGGATGCGCTGGTGGGAGGTGAGGTGAGCGCTGCTTTTGAAGCTCTTTGGACACTCCGGACACTTAAAAGGCCTCTCCCCCGTATGGATGCGGTGGTGCACAATGAGGTCAGAGCTGCTCCTGAAGCTCTTGCCACACTCAGGGCACTGGAAGGGCCTCTCTCCTGTGTGGATGCGCTGGTGGCGGATGAGGTTCGAACTGCTTCTGAAGCTCTTCCCACACTCAGGGCACTCGAAGGGTCTCTCTTCTGCGTGGTCCTGCTGGTGGATAAGCAAGTTGCAACCTTTTATGTTCCTCTTTTCACACTCAAGGCATTTAAACCGAATGTCTCCTACGTGGATGCTCTGGCGGTTAACAAGGCCAGAGTTCCTTTTCAGGCTGTTCCCACACTCAGCACGTGGGTTCTGCCTTTCCTCCTGGCACACCTCCTTGCTCCTTGCATCTTCGGGCTGCTTCTGACCTGTGCTGCAGTGCAGGAGGTTCCTCACAATCTCTCCCTGAGGGTTTCCCTGTTGCTTCTTCAGGTGCTCTCCCTGCTCCGGGCCCCCTTGCACATCCCTTCTGGCTTTTCCCACCAAGGCTCTGCCCCACTGTTTGGCCACATCACACTTGTGCAGAACCTCCTCTAGAGCTGGCATCCTCTCCTCTGCTGGATGACAGAGGAAAGCCAGAAATCACACATTAAGCCAGAATGCTGCCTGGGCAGAGATGGCTTCTGCCAGCCACAACCTCCTCCCGTCCCCCACAGGCTCACCTGGGCTGAGGACTCCTGCCACGTCCTCCAGGCCATGCACACCCGAGAGCCAGGGGTCCTTCCCTTCCTCAAGCAGGGAGATCACCACCGGTCTGCAGGCTGGAAGTGACATTTCAGTGACACAAACACTGAACATGAGAGCATTTCATCACTCTGGCACAGCTGCTTGTCACAGAATCACAGGATGACAGAATGAGCCGGGTTGAAGGGAGCTCAAGGATCACGCAGTTCCAACCCCCTGCCCAGCAGGGCCACCAAACACACACAGTCACATCAGGTTGCCCAGGACCCCGTCCAAGCTGGCCTTGAACACGGCCAAGGACGGGGCATCCACAACCTCCCTGGGCAGCCCGTTCCAGGCCCTAACCGCTCTCCTTGGGAAGAGCTTCCCCCTCACATCCAACTGAAATCTTCCCTCCCTCAGCTTGGATGGCTTCCTATGGGTTCCTATGGGTTCCTATGGGGCTCTGTGGGTTCCTATGGGGCTCTGTGGGTTCCTATGGGTTCCTATGGGTTCCTATGGGTTCCTATGGGTTCCTATGGGGCTCTGTGGGTTCCTATGGGTTCCTATGGGGCTCTGTGGGTTCCTATGGGTTCCTATGGGTTCCTATGGGTTCCTATGGGGCTCTATGGGTCCCCTTGGTTCCTATGTGTTCCCATGGGTTCCCATAGGTTCCCATGGGGCTCTATGGGTTCCTATGGGGCTCTATGGGTCCCCTTGGTTCCTATGGGTTCTATGGGTCCCCTTGGTTCCTATGGGGCTCTGTGGGTTCCTATGGGTTCCTATGGGTTCTATGGGTTCCTATAGATTCCTATGGGTCCCCTTGGTTCCTATGGGGCTCTGTGGGTTCCTATGGGTTCCTATGGGTTCTATGGGTTCCTATAGATTCCTATGGGTCCTCTTGGTTCCTATGGGTTCACAGAATCAGAATCACAGGATGACAGAATCAGCCGGGTTGAAGGGAGCTCAAGGATCACGCAGTTCCAACCCCCTGCCCAGCAGGGCCACCAAACACACACAGTCACATCAGGTTGCCCAGGACCCCGTCCAAGCTGGCCTTGAACACGGCCAAGGACGGGGCATCCACAACCTCCCTGGGCAGCCCGTTCCAGGCCCTAACCGCTCTCCTTGGGAAGAGCTTCCCCCTAACATCCAACTGAAATCTTCCCTCCCTCAGTTTGGATGGGTTCCTATGGCTTCCTATGGGTTCCTATGGGTTCCTATGGGTTCCTATGGCTTCCTATGGGTTCCTATGGCTTCCTATGGGGCTCTGTGGGTTCCTATGGTTTCCTATGGGTCCCCTTGGTTCCTATGGGTTCCTATGGGGCTCTGTGGGTTCCTATGGGTTTCTATGGGTTCTATGGGTTCCTATGGGTTCCTATGGGTCCCCTTGGTTCCTATGGGTTCTATGGGTCCCCTTGGTTCCTATGGGTTCTATGGGTCCCCTTGGTTCCTATGGGGCTCTGTGGGTTCCTATGGGTTCCTATGGGATCCCATGGGGCTCTGTGAGTTCATATGGGTTCCTATGGGTTCTATGGGTTCCTATGGGTTCCAATGGGTCCCCTTGGTTCCTATGGGGCTCTATGGGTTCCTATGGGTTCTATGGGGCTCTGTGGGTTCCTATGGGTTCCTATGGGGCTCTATGGGTTCCTATGGGTTCCTATGGGTCCCCTTGGTTCCTATGGGGCTCTCTGGGTTCCTATGGGTTCCTATGGGTTCCTATGGGTCCCCTTGGTTCCTATGGGTTCTATGGGTTCCTATGGGGCTCTATGGGTTCCTATGGGGCTCTATGGGTCCCCTTGGTTCCTATGGGGCTCTGTGGGTTCCTATGGGGCTCTATGGGTCCCCTTGGTTCCTATGGGTTCTATGGGTTCCCCTTGGTTCCTATGGGGCTCTGTGGGTTCCTATGGGGCTCTATGGGTCCTCTTGGTTCCTATGGGTTCACAGAATCAGAATCACAGATCACAGAATGAGCCGGGTTGAAGGGAGCTCAAGGATCACGCAGTTCCAACCCCCTGCCCAGCAGGGCCACCAAACACACACAGTCACATCAGGTTGCCCAGGACCCCGTCCAAGCTGGCCTTGAACACGGCCAAGGACGGGGCATCCACAACCTCCCTGGGCAGCCCGTTCCAGGCCCTAACCGCTCTCCTTGGGAAGAGCTTCCCCCTCACATCCAACTGAAATCTTCCCTCCCTCAGCTTGGATGGGTTCCTATGGCTTCCTATGGGTTCCTATGGGTTCCTATGGGTTCCTATGGGTTCCTATGGGTTCCTATGGGGCTCTGTGGGTTCCTATGGGTTCCTATGGGTTCCTATGGGTCCCCTTGGTTCCTATGGGGCTCTGTGGGTTCCTATGGGTTCCTATGGGTTCTATGGGTTCCTATGGGTTCCTATGGGTCTCCTTGGTTCCTATCGGGCTCTATGGGTCCCCTTGGTTCCTATGGGTTCTATGGGTACCCATGGGTTCCTATGGGTTCTATGGGTTCCTATGGGTTCCTATGGGTTCTATGGGTTCCTATGGGTTCTATGGGTTCCTATGGGTTCCCATAGGGCTCTATGGGTTCCTATGGGGCTCTGTGGGTTCCTATGGGTTCCTATGGGTTCTATGGGTTCCCATGGGTTCCTATGGGGCTCTATGGGTTCCTACGGGGCTCTATGGGTCCTCTTGGTTCCTATGGGTTCCTATGGGGCTCTATGGGTTCCTGTGGGGCTCTATGGGTTCCTATGGGGCTCTATGGGTCCCCTTGGTTCCTTGGATCCATTTCCCCTCGTCCTGCTGCTGTCAGCCCTTTGCAAGAGTTGCCTCCCCTCCTGGCTGTAGGTTCCCTTCAGCTATCGATAGGCTGCACTGAGCTCAGCCCGCAGCTTCTCTTCTCCAGGCTGAACGAGCCCAACTCCCTCAGCCTGTCCTCATAGGGGAGCTGCTCCAGCCCCCTGCTCATCTCAGTCGCCCTCCTCTGGACCCTTTCCAACATCTCTCTGTCTTTCTTGTCCTGAGGGCTCCACACCTGGACATGGGACTCCAGATGGGGCCTCACAAGAGCCGAGTAGAGAGGGACGATCGCCTCCCTGTCCCTGCTGACCACCCCTCTGCCGATGGAGCCCGGGATCCCATTTGCCCTTTTGTCCAACGCTGCACTGCGTGTCTGTCCCTGCGCGCCTCTGAAACCGCTGTAAGGGCCTGAACGACACTGGCCCTGGTACAGCCTGCCTTCCTTTGGACCCCAGCGTGAATTTTACATCTTCAAAAACTGGATAGGGATAATTTCTTTAACGTTCACATTAGGTTGTTTTATTTCTATCCAAACTGTTCAGCGCCCAAGGCTTCATAAAGGTTTATGGGAGTTCAGAGGGAAAGAGCAAAAAGGCAAATAAATAACCAGAGAGTTGTCAGGCTGCTGGAGCCAGTGGCGCCCTGCAATGCAGCCAGACCAAGACAGTCTGCAGGAGCTGATCCAACTCCTCCTGGCTGATGCCTGCTTGCCAGCCTGTGCCTCTGGGTCTTTTCTCACAGTGCTGAGCACACCGACCCCTTCTGAAATTCACTTATTTACTTTTCATTTGCTTATTTACATTTCATTTGTTGCGCTGTTGTATTAAGCCATTCGTAACTGTGTTGCAATTACACTGATTGCAGAGGCCCTGATTGCAGAGGCTCATTCTGCACAGCCACAGGAGCCCCAACAAGAAGGAAAGGCTGCAAAGCCCACAGCCCCACACGTCTCCAGCATCACGTCCCGGTACAGCACCTGCTGCGCAGGGTCCAGCAGCGCCCACTGCTCCCTGCTGAAATACACGGCCACCTCTGCAAAGCCCATGGGCTCCTGCAAGCAGAGGCTCCTTGCTCACAACAGCCCAGGCCTACGGAAGCAGCTGGCAGAGGGGAGAAACTCCAGTCCCAGCGGCTCCTTCGTCCCCAGCACATAAACGCTGGCTGAAGGCACTTCCCTCTCCCCACGTGTTCACATCCCTCACCCAGTGGCCTCTCCTGCGTGCTTCCCAATGCCCCTACCTGAGACGGATGCGCTGCGGCCGTTTGTTGCTCTCCTGCAGATGAGGTGTCAGGGATGATCACAGGCAGAAGTTGCACAGGAGCCTGCTGGGACAACACAAGGGGCAGGGGAGGTGTGAGGGAGCGCAGCAGCCCCTGTCCCAGACCAGTCCTCCCCAACCCATCTGAAGGGCATCGCTTGAGGGTTGAGGCTCATCGCTGAGCCACCTGGGACTCAGGCCAGCAGCACTGCAGCCATCTCCAACTTGTCACGTCACCGCTGTACCACTACAGCCTCTGTGCATTGTATCGACCGGTACATTGCTGCTTCTCCCATAACAGCATATGTTGTCGTAGGATCCGTGCATTAGGAATCTCAGCAAGAAATTTCAGCACGATCTGGACAGGCTGGAGAGCTGGGCAGAAAAAAACCAGATGAGGTTTAACAAAAGCAAGTGTAGAGTCTTGCATCTGGGGAGGAAGAATTGCATGCAGCAGTACAGGTTGGGGGATGAGCTGCTGGAGGGGAGCTCTGCACAGAGGGACCTGGGCGTCCTGGTGGATGACAGGTTGCCATGAGCCAGCAGTGCGCCCTCGTGGCCAAAAAGGCCACCGGCGTCCTGGGGTGCATTAAAAAGAGGGCGGCCAGCAGGGCGAGGGAGGCGATCCTCCCCCTCTGCTCTGCCCTGGTAAGACCTCCTCTGCAGCACTGTGTGAAGTTCTGGGCACCCCAGTACAAAAAAGACAAGGATCTCTTGGGAAGAGTCCAGCGGAGGGCCACCAAGATGGTGAAGGGCCTGGAGCATCTCTGCTATGAGGAAAGGCTGAGTGAGCTGGGTCTGTTCAGCCTTGAGAAAAGGAGACTGAGAGGGGAGCTGATCCAGGTCTGTAAATATCTGAGGTGTGAGGGGCAGAATGGCGAGGCCAGGCTGTTTTCAGTGGTGAGTGGAGACGGGACGAGGGGAAACGGCTGGAAACTGCAGCACAGGAAGTTGTGCACAAATGGGCACAAGAACTTCTTTACAGTGAGGTGACGGAGCACTGGAACAGGCTGCAGGGAGGTGGGGGAGTCTATGGGTCCCAGTGGGTCTCAACGTGTCTCTATGGGTCCCGACGTGTCTCTATGGGTCCCAGTGGGTCTCAACATGTCTCTATGGGTCCCAATGTGTCTCTATGGGTCCCAGTGGGTCTCAACGTGTCTCTTTGGGTCCCAACGTGTCTCTATGGGTCCCAGTGGGTCTCAACATGTCTCTATGGGTCCCAATGTGTCTCTATGGGTCCCAATGTGTCTCTATGGGCCTCAACGTGTCTCTATGGGTCTCAGTGTACCTCTATGGGTCCCAACGTGTCTCTATGGGTCTCAATGTGTCTCTATGGGTCCCAATGTGTCTCTATGGGTCTCAGTGTATCTCTATGGGTCCCAATGTGTCTCTATGGGTCCCAATGTGTCTCTATGGGTCCCAACGTGTCTCTATGGGTCCCAATGTGTCTCTATGGGTTCCAACGTGTCTCTATGGGTCCCAACGTGTCTCTATGGGTCTCAACGTGTCTCTATGGGTCCCAACGTATCTCTATGGGTCCCAACGTGTCTCTATGGGTCCCAACGTGTCTCTATGGGTCCCAGTGTGTCTCTATGGGTCCCACTGTTTCTCTATGGGTCTCAACGTGCCTCTATGGGTGCCAATGTGTCTCTATGGGTCTCAACGTGCCTCTATGGGTGCCAATGTGTCTCTATGGGTCTCAACGTGCCTCTATGGGTGCCAATGTGTCTCTATGGGTCTCAACGTGCCTCTATGGGTCCCAGTGTGTCTCTATGGGTTTCAACGTGTCTCTATGGGTCCCAACGTGTCTCTATGGGTCCCAACGTGTCTCTATGGGTCCCAACGTGTCCCTATGGTCCCACTGCTCACTGCAGCAGGCTGCCCAGGGAGGTGCTGGAGTCTCCTGCTCTGCAGATGTTCCAGAGCTGCCTGCATGCCGAGCTGTGCGACTGCTGTAGGAACGGCTTGGGCAGGGGGTTGGACTGCATGAGCTCTGCAGCTCCCTGCAACCCCTGCCATTCTGGGCTGCTGGGATTCTATGGGTCCCAGTGTGTCTCTATGGGTCCCAGTGTGTCTCTATGGGTCTCAGTGTGTCTCTATGGGTCCCAATGTGTCTCTATGGGTCCCAACGTGTCTCTATGGGTCCCAGTGGGTCTCTATGGGTCCCAATGTGTCTCAATGGGTCCCAGTGTGTCTCTATGAGTCCCAACGTGTCTCTATGGGTCCCAACGTGTCTCTATGGGTCCCAACGTGTCTCTATGGGTCTCAGTCTATCTCTATGGGTCCCAACGTGTCTCTATGGATCCCAATGTGTCTCTATGGGTCCCAACGTGTCTCTATGGGTCCCAACGTGTCCCTATGGTCCCACTGCTCACTGCAGCAGGCTGCCCAGGGAGGTGCTGGAGTCTCCTGCTCTGCAGATGTTCCAGAGCTGCCTGCATGCCGAGCTGTGCGACTGCTATAGGGAACCTGCTTTGGCAGGGGGTTGGACTCGATGATCTCTGGAGCTCCCTTCCAACCCCTACGATTCTGTGATTCTGTGATCTGTGATGTCTGCACGATGGCACCTAGGGATACCAGCTGATTACAAGAGTCGTGGGCTGAACCGCAGCCCCAGACACTCGTGAATGGGCTCAAGACAATTGTTTCAGCTGAGAAACAAGAGATCCTTAGGGGCTGTAAAAGGATAAAAGGTGGAAAGGTGTTCCATGCACAATGGCAACATGGGATGTTACATACGAAGCAAGGGAGAACGTTGGAACCCATAGAGACACATTGGGACCCATAGAGACACGTTGAGACCCATAGAGACACATTGGGACCCATAGAGACACGTTGAGACCCACTGGGACCCATAGAGACACGTTGAAACCCATAGAGACACGTTGGGACCCATAGAGACACATTGGGACCCATAGAGAAACATTGGGACCCATAGAGACACATTGAGACCCATTGGGACGCTTAGAGAAACATTGGCACCCATAGAGGCATGTTGAGAACCATAGAGACACACTGGGACCCATAGAGACACCTTGGGACCCATAGAGACACATTGGGACCCATAGAGACACACTGGGACCCATAGAATCCCAGCATCCCAGAACTGCAGGGGTTGCAGGGAGCTGCAGAGCTCATGCAGTCCAACCCCCTGCCCAAGCCGTTCCTACAGCAGTCGCACAGCTCGGCATGCAGGAGCTCTGGAACATCTGCAGAGCAGGAGACTCCAGCACCTCCCTGGGCAGCCTGCTGCAGTGAGCAGTGGGACCATAGGGACACGTTGGGACCCATAGAGACACGTTGGGACCCATAGAGACACGTTGGGACCCATAGAGACACGTTGAAACCCATAGAGACACATTGAGACCCATTGGGACGCATAGAGAAACATTGGCACCCATAGAGGCATGTTGAGAACCATAGAGACACACTGGGACCCATAGAGACACATTGGGACCCACAGAGACAATTGGGACCCATAGAGACACTTTGGGACGCTTAGAGACACATTGGGACCCATAGAGACACGTTGGGACCCATAGAGACACATTGGGACCCATAGAGACACATTGGGACCCATAGAGACACACTGGGACCCATAGAATCCCAGCATCCCAGAATGGCAGGGGTTGCAGGGAGCTGCAGAGCTCATGCAGTCCAACCCCCTGCCCAAGCCGTTCCTACAGCAGTCGCACAGCTCGGCATGCAGGCAGCTCTGGAACATCTGCAGAGCAGGAGACTCCAGCACCTCCCTGGGCAGCCTGCTGCAGTGAGCAGTGGGACCATAGGGACACGTTGGGACCCATAGAGACACGTTGGGACCCATAGAGACACGTTGGGACCCATAGAGACACATTGGGACCCATTGAGACACGCTGGGACCCATAGAGACCCATTGGAACCCATAGAGACACATTGGGACCCATAGAGACACGTTGGGACCCATAGAGACACACTGGGACCCATAGAGACACGTTGAAACCCATAGAGACACGTTGGGACCAAAGAGACACTTTGGGACCCATAGAGACACGTTGGGACCCATAGAGACACGTTGGGACCCATAGAGATACACTGAGACCCATAGAGACACATTGAGACCCATTGGGACGCATAGAGAAACATTGGCACCCATAGAGGCATGTTGAGAACCATAGAGACACACTGGGACCCATAGAGACACATTGGGACCCACAGAGACAATTGGGACCCATAGAGACACTTTGGGACGCTTAGAGACACATTGGGACCCATAGAGACACGTTGGGACCCATAGAGACACATTGGGACCCATAGAGACACATTGGGACCCATAGAGACACACTGGGACCCATAGAATCCCAGCATCCCAGAATGGCAGGGGTTGCAGGGAGCTGCAGAGCTCATGCAGTCCAACCCCCTGCCCAAGCCGTTCCTACAGCAGTCGCACAGCTCGGCATGCAGGCAGCTCTGGAACATCTGCAGAGCAGGAGACTCCAGCACCTCCCTGGGCAGCCTGCTGCAGTGAGCAGTGGGACCATAGGGACACGTTGGGACCCATAGAGACACGTTGGGACCCATAGAGACACGTTGGGACCCATAGAGACACATTGGGACCCATTGAGACACGCTGGGACCCATAGAGACCCATTGGAACCCATAGAGACACATTGGGACCCATAGAGACACGTTGGGACCCATAGAGACACACTGGGACCCATAGAGACACGTTGAAACCCATAGAGACACGTTGGGACCAAAGAGACACTTTGGGACCCATAGAGAAACGTTGGGACCCATAGAGACACGTTGGGACCCATAGAGATACACTGAGACCCATAGAGACACATTGAGACCCATAGAGACACATTGGGACCCATAGAGACACATTGGGATCCATAGAGACACATTGGGATCCATGGAGACACGTTGAGACCCATTGGGACCCATTGAGGCACGTTGGGAGCCATAGAGACACATTGGGACCCATAGAGACACACTGAGACCCATAGAGACACACTGGGACCCATAGAATCCCAGCATCCCAGAACTGCAGGGGTTGCAGGGAGCTGCAGAGCTCATGCAGTCCAACCCCCTGCCCAAGCCGTTCCTACAGCAGTCGCACAGCTCGGCATGCAGGAAGGCGCT